GGCGGGAGCGGCGCGGACGCAGCGCGGGGCTGCGGGCCGGGAGAGGCTTCACCTGGCGGGGCTTCGGGGAGCTGCTGTCCCCCGCCCGGAGGCTGCGCCTGCTAGACCCCCGGGCTGCCTCCAGGGACTCAGTTCTCTGAAGCTCTCCGGGCGCCTCTGGCTTAGGACCCTGTGAGTAAACTTCCCTTAAACCAAGCCTTGTTTCGGGGTTTTCTGAAGTGAGTAGGAGCGGTGCCGCACAGAGAGCAGAGGCTGCCGATCAGTGAGCCCAGGAAATGACCTTTCTGGGACTTTTAGGGTGGAACATTGGTCTAATGGAACATGTGCAGAGTTTTTGTGGAGCTTCTCGGTAATTTATCTCCTCGGGACTGTGATGTAGAGGACAGGGATGCCAGGGTTCTTCATTTATTTTCTAATCCAATCAAGGCACAGACCTTGTTATAGGAAGTGTTCAGTCTGTTGACCTCCTGTTCCCCAGCCTAGAGGTTATCTTGAATGTGTGGACTCTGGCTGTCCACCATGACAAGAGCCTGAAGACGCTGTCCATGAGATGTGGCTGGAGCTAGGAGATAACACAGTTCAGAAGAGAGGGTAGAGCTCTGGGGAAGTGGGTACTAGTTGCTCTTGGATGTTACTGTGTCAGCGCAGCAGAAAGTGCGTGCAGGTTTAGTTACATTGCACTGAAAATGTATTGTGTGTGTGTGGCAGAGGCTGGACCGACGCAGGGTCCTCTTCAGACTCTGCGGATTATGCCAGGGTGGATTGATTCCCCGAGACTTAAAAATGCATCTAGATACAGTTAAGAAATGGCCTTCCACAGGACTTATATTGTTATTTCTTGTTTCACTGTGGCCCTTACATCTACAGTGGTACTCTTTGGAAAGAAATCATAACTTCCTGTTTAAAAGTTAGGGGCCGTGAAATTCATTTGATCTGCAGTGGTATGCACACCAGATTCAGCTGCTAAACAGCACCGACTAAACTAAGACCAGTCACGGCAAAGGAAGAAAGAGCCACACTTTTGTGTTGTTATTTACTTATTTACTTTAGTATTCAGTAGCTTCTCATTGCTTTTTGGAGGGGGAGGACAGGAGAACATTTTGTAACTTTGGTCAAGGGTGTCAGATGGAAACATTTTGGTTGGGCTCCTTGTTTTTGTCTGGTGTATACAAAATATAAGTAATGGGGAAAACCATGCGGGGTCAAGTAGGAGCAAGAGAGCCAAGCAGACCCCTGATGTTACTGATCCTCAGTCCTGGAGGCAGAGTGCTTTCCTCCGGCTCAGAGCCTGTGGACGCCTTCAGTTACCAGTTGGAATGCGGGTGAGCAGCAGATTCAAACTTTACTCAATATTCAGAAAGATATTTCCCTTCTTAAAGAACTAATGAACTAGTAAGAGTAGTTACAAGTAAGGACTTTCTTTTATTTTCAGGAGTTGCAAAATTAATTCCATTAAAATATGAGTCTATGGTGGGGATCGATATTGTAATACTTTTAAGAGGCCAGAACCTAAAACTCAGGAAGATGACATAGCACCAATGGTAAAAGTTGGTTTTCATTAAGAAATGACTCCAAATACCTTACTCTTGATTTGGCAACATCCCTGAGTCTCAGCTCCCAAATTTAGTTCTTTTGCTAAAACTATCAACACAATGTAGAATTAGCTTTTTATTTTAAAAAAAGAAAAACTTGATTGGTCTATACTGATGAATCCCATGATGAGAAACTTCTGCTGTATTTTGAGCTTCTATAGACATTGATTAAGTATATATTTGGCTGAGCTGACCATAAAAATTTAGCTGAGAGGTGTACTTGGAACTTTTCACATTCCTTTTATTAAAATGACTTCTCTCAGATTTTTCTAACTTTTTTATCAAATGAAGAAACTATCTGACAGTTATTGGCTAGTAAAAGAGAGATTTGACAATGTGGACAGTGTGACAACTGTTCTTTCACTGTCAGTTTGTTTTGATGACCTATATTTTTTATTGGAGAAAAGAGTCAATCAGGAAATTTCTATCAGGCTGACAACATTTTTAGACTATGTGATGTGTGGGTGAAGTGGGACTGATACTGATTTGACCCTAGTGCAGTCATCCGAGAACACGTATTTTGGTTGTTTTTGCATTCCATATTATCATTATTATGCATGAAGACTATTTTCTCTGTACATGGAACGTGACCCTAAATAGCGTTTTGACTGGGAGATGAAAATAAGGGCTACAGTTTGTAGCATTTGAAAAATTGTTTTGCTCAGGAAAAAAATGTGACAGTAATTAAGAAAGCTTGATGGTTATTTATGAGATGCTAGGAAAGAAAGCACTGACGTTTTGTATAACTTCAGTATTCAACTGTAGTATTGTACCTTGGAACTGATGTTTTCCTCAAATCTTTATAACTTGGATGTTCTTGTATATTTTATTTCATTTGTAGTGCTAGGGCTTGAATCTAGGGCCTCATACATGCTCAGCAAACATTCCAACCCTGAGTTATATTCCACCAGTCTAAAATCTTTATAAATTAGTATACCAAAGAAACCGATTGTAAATTAATATATCAAAATGATCTATAATGATTAATTGTAAGCACAGGCTATGTTCCCTACATATGATGTTATAACTGGACACTCTTTTTGAAATGATAGAATTTATTATTCCATGCATGTGTACTCTCAGTTTTTTTTTTCTTAAAGGCTGAAATTTTAGATTTAGTCTTTTATTGCATATATTACAGGTTGTAGCTTGGTGAATTCTTAAAAGTTTGTATACACAAGCTACACTATAGTGTGTTAGGCATGCAGTACAGTAAGTGAATCAACACAGTCTGTAAATGCCCAAAGAGTGAGTTGTATTGTCTCTCACATTAACTCTAGAAATGGTATGGCTGTGCGTTCACCGTACTAGGGTTTAAGAAGCCAGAAATTCCTGAGCAATGCGAGGCAACCTCTTCCCCACCATCCCCTCACAGCCTTCATCCGTCCTCTCAGGAGAGCTCTTGACCCAGTCTCCCCCTGCATGCTCTGGAGGCTGATGCCACTGCAGAACGTGTGCAGAAAGGAATGCACTTGTATTCTAGCAGTGATGGTAAGAGCAGGCCGAAAATCTAGAAATGTGTGTCAGGGAAAATTGAGGATCATATGAAATCATAGATTCCCTTTATTCTCAGTAGACTTCTCATTTTTAGAGCCAATCCCCCTAGTCATAATGTGAACCTTAAGAAGATACTTAATGAAGCTGTGAGAATTACGTAGCTTATACATGAGATGATGAAAACAAGCCATAATCACCAAATTTCTAATTATGTGTAGAAGTTTTGAACAATAGTCTGTTAGGCTTTGTGTGACTTAGGACATACTCACTCTGTCCTTTTCAGGGCACCAGCTGGGTGAATCTGGATGCAGGCTTTTACTTAAAAGGACTAAGCTCCCTTGGGAGGCAGAACTCCAGTTATAGGTTTAAGAAGTTCTTCTAACTCTTTCTCTGGACTCTGTCACCTTCATTAAGTCATAAAACCACTCTGAGTTTCTGTTTGTCATGGAAAGACCCTGGAAGAAATGCACTTCAACGCTTCCTTTTACCAATGGGAAAAATGAATGCTCATGAGGTTGAAAAATGTCTCCCGAAGGATTTCAGAGCTGACTGGCGGCTGCCAGCCTCTCCTTTCCTGATGGGCATCAGAGCATCTTTCCACAATGCCATGCAGCTTCCCAAGCCTTTTTTTCCCCTGCTGTTGCAAAATAGGCTTATTTTTGTCTTTAGTGCCTCAATCAACTTTTTTGATAAAGAAGATTAATATGCAATAGATTCTTGGGCCTTGGAGTTTGAGATTCTTTCCAAGTCCTTGGTAATGTCCTTTTTTAAGTTTAGGCATTCCAAAGGCCTCCTGCAAACATTTGTATTATGCTGATGACTTTTGCTGTCCATGCAGCATCCTTGGTTGATGAGGTGGAATAACCACTTAGCAAATGAACATTTATTTATTTAAAATAAAATATAGAAAGTGGTATTAATGATTAGTTTTAAGTGCCTCATATTTCTTTGACATTCTAAAGTAACTAGGTTCATTAAGAAGAGAGAATATAGTTATAACCTAAACTATTTCAATATGCAGTCAAATCATTTAAGGCAGATGATTTAATTTTCTTGTACGTATAAGCAAGGATTTAAGTGGATTTAAAAGAATTCATACTGGGCTTCTTTGAGAAAGAGAAGCCCCTAAAATGCTACACTACACAAATTTACTGAACTGCAAGAGCTCAGAAGCTCAATCTGCCTCACAGCTTTAAGTTCGAATATTTGTGGGTTTTTTTTTTTTTTTTTTTTGGTACCAGGAATCAAACCCAGGATCTTGCACTTGCTAGGCAGGCACTGTTGCACTGAGTTACATCCCCAGTCGTCAAAATAATTTATCAACTAGAAAAATTTAAAAATAAAAGAAAAATTAAACAAAAATAAATGAATTATTGGCGCTGGAGGTTAGCCAGAATAAAGCTCACAATAATGATGGAAAGGGCAGAAGTGAAAGCCATAAAATTTTGCAAACTAAGGCTATGTTCACCAAGAACCCAGTACCATGACATGGTCACCCTAGGAATCTAAGTGAAAGGAACTTGGATTAAATGCAAAGAAGTCCTACTTTGCCTGGCGTTTGTAAAAGTTTCACATCTCGCAAAGTTTTTGAAGTATCAGGGAAATGAATCAAGCTAATGAAAGTGAGGGTATTCAGAAGAGCAGCCTTGTTCTTCCGAGTAGCGTCTCTTTGGACAACTGGAAGAGACACCACTGAGCGGACCTTGTTGGGAATTACGTGTGCTCTTGTTTCCATCTGGACAAAGGAATTTTCAATAAGAATAAAACAATCATGTATGTGATTCCTGCGGCATATCCTAAAGCAAAATTCTCAGTTGACTCTAATTTCTAAACATGGTGCTTAACTTAGATGTCATTCCTGTAGGCCCTGTTTCCAGTTAACTTAAAAAAAAAACTCAAAATGAACACATTCAGTAATATATAATAATTGAAGACATTACCTCCAGAAAAACATTTTCATTCAAGAAACAAAGGCCCTCTAATAGTTTAATTTCAGGCTCTGGAAGAGACAATGAAGGCAGTAATTTGGGGCATAGCTCTGCCCTGAGATTTTCAAAATGCACCTCCATAGTTAAGCAGCTG